TCGCAGCGCCTCCAGGAACAGCAGAGACACCACCAGTACCCTAAGCGCCAGGGTCTCCAGCTACAACTCCCGCAACACCACCAGCTCCAGTACCTCCTGGACCAATGGCTCCAGCACCAGCAGCACCTCCAGTAGCACCAGCACCAGCAACGCCTCCAGCAGCACCAGCACCAGCAGCACCTCCAGCAGCTCCAGCACCAGCAGCACCTCCAGCAGCTCCCGCACTAGCAACACCTCCAGCAGCTCCAGCACGAACAGCACCAGTAGCACGGCGACAGCGCCGAGCGTACCACTCACGAAGCCGCTGTGGAGAGAGGGGCTCCCGCCGCAACGGGACACCCGAAGAACCTCCAGACTCAGCACGCGCAGGCTCAGCACCCCAAGACGCAGTACCCCAAGGCTCCACACGCCCAGGCTCAGCACCCCCAGACTCCACACCCCCAGTCCCCGCACTCGTAGGCTCAGCACCCCCAGACCCCACACGCTCAGGCTCAGCACCCCCAGGCTCCGCACCCCCAGTCCCCTCACCCGCAGGCTCAGCACTCCTAGCAGCACCTGAGTCGACAGCTACCTCGACCGGCTCGGCAGGGTCAACCTGAGACACACCTGAGGGGGCAGGACCCTGAGGGGGGAGGGGGTCTACCGGAGGAGTACCTGGTGCTAGGAAGAGTGGTGGGGGGGGGAGAGAGGCAGTGCGGTAGGGAAAGAGACGGTAGTAAGACACCGACTCGTCAAACGTGACGTCCTAAGAGGACAGAACACGACGTGAGGTGGGGTGGTAGAACTGCCACCCTGGTGCGTCAGGAGGGAATCCAAGGAAGACGCAGGGAACGGCACGGGAGGACAGCTTGTCCGCTGAAGTATCGCGGACAAAAGCTTGAGATCCCCAGACACGGAACGCAGACGCATCGCCAATCTTCCCCGTCCACCTCAGAGTAGGTGTGGTCTCCGGCAAGGAGACACGAGGCTGAAGGTTGATCTGATGTGCAGCGTACTGAACCGCGAACGGCCACAGAAAATGGGGAGCAGCCGCATGGATCATGGACGTACGAGCGACGTCCATGACCATGCCCATGCGGTGCTCAGCAATCCCATTTTGCTGTGGGGAGGCCGGAAGCGTGAACGTCTGGCGGATGCCCTCCGCAGGAGGTCGGAGGAAAACTCACCACCTCTGTCTGAGTGCAGACGCAGAACAGGAAGGTCCGAGCCAAAACTCTCGCTGAGCTGGCAACGGGCACCGCGGATCCAGTCGATCAACACCTCAGTGACGTCACCCTTGCTGCGCAAGGGGAAGACTGAGGTGTAACGCGAGTAGTCGTCAACGACCAGCAGGAGGTAACGCTCGTGACCCTGTCCACGGACGCGGGCTGGGCCCCACACGTCCATGTGAAGAGTCTGCAGGGGAGCCTCGGTCGGAGGGAACGAGGAGGAGTGAGGAGCGGCGCGCTTCCGGCCCTCGACACACGGAACACAGGTGGGGGCAGGCCCCGGAGGAAGGGGAGGAAGGCACCGGGGGAGACCCGAGACAAGGGTACGGGAGGCCATACCTCGAAGACGAGGCAGGGAAGGGTGACCAAGGCGGTGGTGCCAAAGGAGAGACTCGTGCGTCAGAGGACGGCACGAGCAGGGAGCAGACGCAGGACTAGACCAGGACGCGGCAGCAAACACCTGACTAGACGCGGCTACCTGACCAGACACAGAGACCGGAGGAGGCGCAGTACTCAGTGTGTAGAGACTCGACCCTGGCCGACGGGTGAATGTGGCTAGGTGGCGGCCCGTCCGAGAGCAAGTGCAGTGGGTCACACGCTGACCTCCAGGGGTGAACTGGTCAACCCACGCATCCTGGAGGTCAGCTCCACTCACCAGGTTCGTAGAGAACAAGGGGAGGTGGAGTCCCGACAGCAAGCCCGACGGGGCCGCAGGACACGGTAGAACCATGGAAGAGTACGCAAGGACTGGGCCCCCAAAGGGGTCAGCCAGGGAGACTGTGACAGGCCGACTGAGCGGCGTGAGCGTGGTGCTATCTCTAAAGAAAGAGCGCGAAGCACCAGAGTCAAGTGTGAAGGTGTGCAAGGCCTCAGTAGGTGCAATACCAGAGAGAGCAGACTCACCAGCACCTGGAGCAGCAGACTCACCAGTACCTGGAGCAGCAGACGCACTAGCACCTAGAGCAGCAGCCTCAATGCCCGGGTCGGGCGGGACACTCAGGTAACAGTCACCCTCAGTACTATCAGACAAAGCATACATGGCAGCAAGGATAGCATCGAAATCAAGATCAAAGATAGCCACATTCTGCCGAAGCAGATCACCCCAGCGAGGGAGCTCAACAGCGTCAGGAAACTGGGCGCGCCAGGCGTCAGTCAAGCGACCGAAGCAGCGCTGCGCAGTGTGTGGCAGCCCGCACGTCTCCCCACGATGACTGCCGGTGCGAAGAACGTAAGTGCAGGGACCAGCACCCCCAGACCTCCCACGCCCAGCGTACCACTCACGAAGCTGCTGGGCCGACGGGGTCTCACGGGAACGCGGCTGCAGCTGGCGCTGGCTACCACCAAAGCCTCCACGCTGCGCGGCTGCACCTCGACCAGCACCATCGCCACCGCCATCCCCGCCACCGCTGCCGCTGCCTCCACCACCGCTGCCGCTGCCTCCACCACCTCCGCCGCTGCCTCCACCACCTCCACCGCCGCCACTGAAGCCCCCACTCCCGGCACCACCCCCACCTCCACCGCCACCCCCTTCGCCTCCTCCACCGCCTCCGCCGCCGCCCCTGCCGTCCCCTCCACCACCCTTGCTCCCCTTGCCCTTGCTGTTGCGGCATCTCCCACTAGGGGTAGACGCAGCTCCGACCTCCTCAGTGCCAACGAGGTCGACAGCAGCAGCAGAAGCAACAGAGGGGAGAAGGGGGACAGGGGAACACCCCGCAAAGAAAGGGGTGCGACGGTCGCCGCGAGAAGCACCTACAACTAAGATACTCTTCACAGCTGACGCTAGGCGCTCCTCTAGCAGGTCGACAGTGAGCTCGGTGGGGCAAAGGGAGAGAAAGTGGTCCCTGACTGAAGAAAGGGAGTCAGGGAGGCGGGTGACTAGGTAGTAAAGGGTGATGTACATGGGGGGGAGGTTCTTGGCACAGAACTCAGTGGGAAGGGCAGCGCGGTAGCGGGCGTCACTAGTGCGAAGGTGAGCAATGAGGTCAGCGACTGTGGCAAAGGCGGCAAGGTCAGGGAAAAGGTACGGCAGCATGAGGCGGCTGAGGGCAGCAGTGGCAGGGTAGGAGTAGCGCGCAACTACAGCGTCGTACAAAGACTTAGTAGTCTTGTACTGGCCAAAATGCGCGCACTCAGCAGGCGGCAGGTGACTACGAACAGCAAGGCGAGCAACAGCGTCACGAGTGGTCCACTGCGAGCAAACCGTACTGTCAGCAGTGGCAGCAGGTGCAGTAGAGATACCGGACGTGTGATCGAAAAGGGATACTCCATCCCTAGAGTCACACAGAAGAAAGAGCTGCAGGTCGTCAACCCACACGTCAAAGTCAACTGCACGTCCCTCAGCATCAAAGGTGAGAACAGTAGGGCTAGCCATAGCAGCAGTAGTAGCAGTAGTAGCAGTAGCAGCAGAGGCAGTAGGGTAGGCAGGGCAGTGCGGCTCAGTAGGGCGGCGCGGCTCGGTAGGGCGGCGCGGCTCGGTAGGGCGGCGCGGCTCGGTAGGGCGGCGCGGCTCGGCAGAGCGGCGCGGCTCAGTGGGCGGCGCGGCTCGGCTGGGCGGCGCGGCTCGACTTCTGGCAGCGTGGCGCAGCAGGGCGGCGCGGGTGCTTACCTGGGGCGGGTGCAGGGCCGGGCCGTGACAGCAGGGGCCGCGACAGCTGGGGCCGCGACAGCAGGGGCCGCGTCAGCAGGGGCCGCGACAGCAGGGGCCGCGCTAGTAGGGGCCGCGACGGCAGGGGCCGCGACAGCAGGGGGCCGCGACAGCAGGGGCCGCGATAGCAGGGGCGGTGACGGCAGGGGCCGCGACAGCAGGGGCCTCGACGGCTTGGGGCCGCAACAGTAGCAGGGGCCGCGACGGCAGCAGGGGCCGCGACGGCAGCAGGGGTCGCAGCGGCAGTAGGGGCCGCGACAGGTGGTGACGGCAGGGCCGCGAGGCAGGGGCTGTGATGGGCGAGGGCCGCGACAGCAGCAGGGGCCGCGTCGGCAGTAGGGGCCGCGACGGCAGGTGGGGTCGCGACGGCAATAGGGGCCGCGACAGGCAGTAGGGGCTGTGACGGCAATTAGGGCCGCAACGGCAGGTGGGGCCGCGACAGCAGTAGGGGTCGCGACGGGCGGCGAAGGGGCCGCGACAGGCGGCGAACAGGCCGCAACGTGTCACGAGACGAACTTAGCTAGGAACGGGTTTAACTAAGGGCCTAGGCTTATTAGCCTAGGCCAAGCGGGTGTCGAGGGAGTTGTGCCAAGAGAGAATCGAGAATGTGTGTCTTCACTATAGGTTTGCAAGAACATATAGCAAAGAAACAAAGAGGTGCACCACCACAACCAAGAAACATAACTACACTAAAGCTAAAGCTACAGGCAGTTATAAACATATATAAATATATATCGCGACACACCCCCTTAACTGCCTGCAGCACATAGCTAGAGCAAGTCACACCCCCTGAAGGGGTATAGCAGGTGCGGTGGGAGACGGCAGAGGGGTACGTGAGGAGGAGGAGGCAAGAGGAAGAGAGGAGAGGAGAATAGATAAGAACACAGGAGGAGGTGAGTGGGGGATGAGGAGAGGAGGTGGGGGGGTGGCCGCAGCGTCCCCTCTTACTAACCCCCTTTTACGAAAGGGGGGTTGAGTGGGGGATGAGGAGAGGAGGTGGGGGGGTGGCCGCAGCGTCCCCTTTTACTAACCCCCACATCCCCACCCCCAACCAACCACCCGCCCTCAACCTCACCCCCCATTTCAGCCGCCCCCTGGAACCGCACTCCCTCCACCCCTGTATTCCTCCATACCTCTCCCAACCCACGATGGTCCCTGTACAGTCTTTCACAAGTGGGCTGCTGGGCACAGGTGGGGCTGCTGGTCACAGGTGGGGCTGCTGGTCACAGGTGGGGCTGCTGGTCACAGGTGGGGCTGCTGGTCACAGGTGGGGCTGCTGGTCACAGGTGGGGTTGCTGGTGCTGGTGCTGGCGGCTGGCGCTGGTGCTGGTTCCTGGTGCTGGCGGCTGGCGCTGGGGCTGGTTCCTGGTGCTGGCGGCTGGCGCTGGGGCTGGTTCCTGGTGCTGGCGGCTGGCGCTGGGGCTGGTTCCTGGTGCTGGCGGCTGGCGCTGGTGCTGGTTCCTGGTGCTGGCGGCTGGCGCTGGGGCTGGTTCCTGGTGCTGGCGGCTAGCGCTGGGGCTGGTTCCTGGTGCTGGCGGCTGGCGCTGGGGCTGGTTCCTGGTGCTGGCGGCTGGCGCTGGGGCTGGTGCCTGGTGCTGGCGGCTGGTGCTGGTGCTGGTTCCTGGTGCTGGCAGCTGGCGCTGGTGCTGGTTCCGCCGCCACTCCCTTCCCCTCCTCTCTCTCCTTTCCACAGCGTCCCGCCGCCACTCCCTTCCCCTCCTCTCTCTCCTTTCCACAGCGTCCCGCCGCCACTCCCTTCCCATCCTCCCTCTCCTCCCCATGGCGACCGCCGCTGCACACGCAAACAGTCGCGACGGGGGGGGGTGACGGGCAGGGGGCGGGGGGAATGCGACGGGCAGAGCGGGCGAATGAGCGGCTGGGGCGATCGCCGGTGCTCTGGCGATCGTCGCTGGCGTTCCCCCGTCACTCCTATCCCCTCTTCCCTCTCGCCCCCACAGAGTTCCGCTGCCACTCCCATCCCTTCTTCCCTCTCCCCCCCACAGCGACCGCCGGTGCGACAGGCGAGGTGCAGGGTGGCGCTGGCTGCAGTCGATGGCGCAAACGCGATCGCGGGCCGCTGGCGACTTCGCTGGCGACTTCGCTGGCGGGTCGCTGGCGGTCGCCATAGCGTCCGCCGCGCCCGTCGCGCTGAGAGCCGCGACGAGGCAGGCGACGACGATGCGACGGGCAGGCGACGGGGGGCAGCGCGAGCAGCAGGGAAAAAAAAAGATACGCAAGGTGCGGATTTTGCGCCACTAACTGTAGCAGTCGCGAAATGTGATGGGCCCATAAACGAAATAGGTCCTAGGACGGACCGCTCTGTTACCATGTTACGATACGATCTTAACTAGAGTACGGGTTTAACAACGGGCGGCAAAGGGGGCCGCGACGGGCCAGACAAGGCAGGGCCGCGACGGGCCGGACTAGGGCAGGGCGCAAGGCGCGCTTCGGGCAGGGCGCAATGCGCGCTTTGGGCAGGGCAGAAAAAAAAAAGTTGTGGTGGGCCCTTGAAAACGTTCCACGTTCCCACTAGGGAACCTGCTCAGAATACCATGTTAGAATGTGAACGAATGAATGATTTAGAAAGCAGGTGGGTACAAGTAGCAAACCTAAAAGTGTTGTACCCTATATGAACTACCCCACTACAGCCTAAACAGACTATAGCATATAAGTTTGACACGGACAGGCGTGACAAGACGCGACGTAGGCTCTCAACGCTCAGTGAGGGACTATGTCACCGCAGTGTGTGGAGCAAAAGCAGGCAGTGGGGAGTGAGGTAGCAGCTGTGGCTGAGTCTGGTCAGACGGTGGAAACAGTAACGGAGGAGTAGTGCCAGCAACAGGGAACTCAGTAACAGCAGGCGGGAGACTGAGAAGGTGACTAAGCGCAGACTGGTGCGGCTGATTAGTCGCACCCCAGAACCTCTAGCTCCGGCAGCAACAGCACCCGTAGCCCGTCGCCCCTGGCCCCGCGGCCCGTCGCCCTTCCCCTAGGCCCCGGCCCCGCGACCCGTCGCCCGTCGACCCCCTCTAGGCCCGGCCCGTAGCCCGTCGACCCTGGCCCCGCGGCCCGTCGCCCCTAACCTAGGCCCCAGCCCCGCGGCCCGTCGCTCGTCGACCCCACTAGGCACGGCCCGTCGCCCGTCGCCCCTGGCCCCACGGCCCGTCACCCCTACCCTAGGCCCTGGCCCGTCGCTCCTGGCCCCTCTGCCCGTTTTCCTTAGGCCCCGCGGCCCCGCGACCCGTTGCTCGTCGCCCGTCGACCCCCCTAGGCCCGGCCCCGTGGCCCGTAGCCCGTCGACCATGGCCCCGCGGCCCGTTGCCCCTTGGCCCGTCGCCCCTAGTCGACCCCCGGCCCGTCGCCCCTCTGGCCCCGCGGCTCGATTTCCCTCGGCCCCGCGGCCCGTTTTCCCTAGGCCTGGCCCATCGCCCCTAGACCCCGCGGCCCGTCGCCCCTAGCCCCGTGACCCGTCGCTCCTGGCCCCGCGGCCCATCGCCCTTAGGCCCCGTGGCCCATCTCCCCTAGGCCTCCGGCCCTTCACTCTCGACCCCGCGGCCCGTCGCCCCTAGGCCCACGTCTGCTGCTTGACTTTGCTGCTGCCTGTCGTCTAGACTACGCCACTGCTCTTGTTGCTGAGTCTGAGTCTGCTAGTCCTCCGTCCATCAGGGGTGAGTGTGCTCTTGGCACGGACGTCCTTGAGGACAGGCAGGAGGACTTTGAGTGCCTTGCAGCTACTGTACCTCGTTTCGCTTCCATGTTGCATGCCCCTGAGTGAGACCCGGATGCACCAGACATCCCGACCCCGCGCTCTTACGCAGAGGCGATTACGGGTCCTTACTCCTCTCAGTGGCAGGCAGCCATGGATGCCGAGATGGCATCCTGGAAGTCCACAGGCACCTACGTCGACGAGGTTCCCCCACCTGGGGTGAACATAGTCGATGGCATGTGGATTTTCAGGGTGAAGCGGCCGCCGGGTTCTCCGCCAGCCTTCAAGGCGCGTTACGTTGCTCGAGGCTTCAGTCAGCGACAGGGGGTTGACTACTTCCAGACCTTCTCCCCCACCACGAAGATGACTACTCTTCGGGTGTTGCTGCACGTCGCTGCTCAGCGTGACTACGAGTTGCACTCTCTGGAATTCAGCACAGCTTTCTTCCAGGGCAGCCTGCACGAGGAGATCTGGCTGCGCCGCCCACCTGGCTTCACTGGGTCGTTTCTTGAAGGTACCCAGTGGAGCCTCCGCCGGCCAGTCCACGGTCTCCGCCAGGCGCCTCGTGAGTGGCACGATACACTGAGGACTAAACTTGCGGCTCTTGGGTTTGCTGCTTCTACTGCTGACCCGTCGCTGTTTCTACGCACCGACACCTCGCTGCCGCCATTCTACGTCCTCGTCTATGTCGATGACCTCGTCTTTGCCATTGCTGACACCGAGGCACTGACCCTTGTGAAGTCGGAGCTGCTGAAGAGACACACCTGCACTGACCTGGGTGAACTGCGCAGCTATCTTGGCTTGCAGATCACCCGGGACAGAGCACGGCGCACCATCACCCTGATTCAATCACACATGGTGCACCAGGTCCTTCAGCGCTTCGGCTTCCAGTTCTCCTCGCCACAGCCCACTCCTCTGTCTACCGGCCACTCGCTCTCAGCTCCACCTTTGGACGAGTCCGTAGAGCCGAGTGGTCCGTACCCAGAGCTTGTGGGTTGCCTCATGTACCTGATGACGTGCACACGACCTGACCTTGCGTACCCTCTCAGCCTTTTGGCTCGCTACGTGGCTCCCAGTAGGCACCGAAAGGTGCACTGGGATGCTGCAAAGAGGGTACTGCGTTACTTGTGCAGTACGTCAGGCATGGGGCTTGTGCTTGGAGGATGGGGTCCAGTTGTCCTCACAGGTCACGCAGACGCTTGTTGGGTTGAAGACTCTGCTACGTAGCGGTCGTCACACGGTTACACCTTCAGCCTTGGTTCCGGCTCTATTTCTTGGCAGTCTACCCGCTCGTCTTCGGTTCTCAGCTCCAGTTGTGAGGCTGAGATCTACGCAGGGGCCAGCTACGCTGGCTCACCTACCTGCTGACTGACTTGGGAGAGCAGCCTCGTTCGCCTCCAGTTCTATACGTAGACAACAAGGCCATGATTGCCTTGTGTTAGGAGCATAGACTGGAGCACCGAACGAAGCACATCGCTCTGCGATACTTCCTTGCTCGAGAGTTGCAGCAGCGTTGCCAACTTCGTCTTGCGTACGTGGCCACTAGGGCCAACACTGCTGATATATTCACCAAGGCACTTCCGCCTGGTGATCATCAGCGCTTCTCTATTGTATTAGGCCTTGTGCCTACTTTGCCTCACTTGCTCACTGCTTGACTCTGCTTGTACTGTTATCTATATATATACCTGCATGCTTACACTTGCTAGGATATGATCATTGTATTGCTTGTTCTCTTTTATATAACTCTGCATGTGAATTGGCCTTGTGGCCCTTTTCTTGTGCTCGGACTGTGTGGTGACTTTGTGATCCACCCTGAGCTTGCTTTGCTTTTCTTGACTGGTCTTGTTACCACTTGTTCTCCCCCACTTTGCCTATGGGGATGTGTCAAATTGTTTTATAGCTTATATTGTGTAGCCTATGGTGGGGTAGCCCATAAGGGGTACAACCCAATTAGGGTTAGTACTTCTTGCTGGGTCCCCTGTTCTTGGCCTAGCCCTGGCCAGATTCGTGCGGTGATCGGTCCGCTCCTGTCCTCCCTCTCTTGTCACCACCACCACCCCAGACTCCTTCACCTCCTTCACTATCCACCTTTTGATACTGAGGCTGATGTCCATCATGTCTCCCTTGGCCTGCTTGAGGTAGACTTCCTCTCCTGACCCGAGCTCCTTCCCTCCCTTTCCTGCCTCTGCTTCCTTCCTCTTCTTGTATCGTTGCGCATCTCTGAGCTGTGCCACATGCACATTTTCCAGCGCCGCAGGCAGTAGTTCCCTGAGGTATCTTGCCCTGGCCTCTGCCAGCCCCACCCAATCCTCTTCTGGCTCCACTTTCACCGTTCCGATCAGCATTTTCGGTGCATCTACTGGTAGTATCGGCTCCCTTCCTAGGAGTAGGTGGTACGGTGACAGATCTCTCAATGCAGCCTGCTTACTGAACCTATACCCCGCCGCTACCCATAGGAGGCGAGCGTCCCAATCCCTCTTGAAGTTCTCTCCATACGCTCTCAAGCCTCTCTTCAGTGTCTGTACGAATCTCTCTGTTAGCCCGTCACTCTGTGGGTGGTACCTTGAAGTTTGCCTGTGCATGATGCCTGTCTCTTTCAATAGTTTGTCAAACTCCCCCATGAACTCTGTCCCTTGATCCGTCAGGACCTCTCCACATGCCCCGAACCTGGTCAGCACCTGTTCCTCGAAGGCTTCAGCTATCTTGGCCGAGTTCTTGCTAGGTAGTGCCTTCACCTCCACCCATTTTCTCCCGTGCTCTATCATTATGAGTATGTACCTTTTTCCCCTTCTGCTCAGCGGCATCTCTGCCGCCAGGTCTAAGGACCACCTGAATCCTAATCCTCTTATGGGCAGCGAGTGGAGCTCGTTCCTGCCTCTGTCCAGCTCTGCTTTGTTTCTGCCGCACAACTCGCATGACTCCACCCAGCTTCGGATGTCTCTTCTCATCCCCGCCCACCACCATCCTGTCTCCACCAACTGCGCCGTCCTTAGGCTCCCGTAATGCCCCAGCTGCCTGTGTACTTGCTTGATTATCTGCTCTCTTTCTTCTTTCTTAGGCACCATCTTCCATCCGCTGCTGCTGTTCTTCTGCAGCTGTCCTTGATACCAGCGGTAATGTGCCCCTCTTGCCCTTGCCCTCTCTGTTACTGGCTCTGCCTCTGCGGTTTTCCCTTGCACCCACTCCAGCACCTCTTGGTCCTCCCACACGTCCTTGGGCCCTCCCTTCTTGCTTCTTCGCGCTCCTTCCCCGTCTATCTCCCTAGCCAGTGCAACCAGACATGTTGTGGGCCTCTCTGGCGGCGGGTTCCTTGAAAGCCCATCCACATGTTGCATGGTTTTCCCGGGCCTGTGTCTGATTGTGAACTCATACTCCAGCAGCCGCATCGCCCACTGTGCATTCCTTCGGGTCAGGGCCTGGTT